ACCGTGCTGGCACGCCATGTCGGCGCCCATCCAACCCCACACCATTCTTGCGTTCCCCCTACAGCAAGCAATTCAGATATACATCTGTCCGACCTTGTCCCTCCTCACCTCACACACAGCTTTCGCATTCACTTGTATTGTTTATTCGCGCCACTACAATTCCCAGCCTCGCCGTTCAAGCACTTCACAAACAGCTACATCGTGCTTCTCTCGCTGCTCTCCCAAACAAGCCACCTCAGTCTCTGTTTATTTCACCCCGTTGGAATACTTTCCGTGAGACCACACTCGGCGTCCTCCCGCAATTCCTAGGAAAGACCATACCTTGAAATGGCTCAGCAGCAGGTTCCAAACATGCAGGGCATGAATGCAGGGAGTTTCAACGCAGCTCCGCCGCCCCAGTCCCTGTACGCCGCTCCACCGCCACCCCAGTACGCCGCGCCAGCGCCTGCGCCAGCGCCGAGCAATTCGGAGGGGTGCTGCGCCAACAACAAGCGCTCCGCGCTTTACACGTGGCTCCCTTTCGGCCTTCGCATCGGCATCTTTTTCTTCTGCCTTGTCGCTTTCAGGTGCGCTTGTCGCTTGGATGAACTCAGCATCATTAACCTTTCTCAATCTCAGATCGAGTTCCATTCACCTCCTCACATTTTCGTGCTTATCGCCAGGAACGCGAGAGAATATTGTGAAGTTGCTTATCCCCCTCCTGCCCATATTTCTTATTTTCTTACAATCCTCTTCCCCTCGATTGCTCGGTTTTCTTTATTCTCCGCGGCAGTCTGTTGTTCGCGACCAAGGCGACAGTGACGTCGTACAGCGCGGGCGCGTTTCTGGTGGGAATGACGATTTTGGGGTTCATATTCGCCGTAATGCTGCTCGTGTACAACTCCGTGCGCATCTGCGTCGCCGGCTCCGAGTCGTACGACTGGATCATGGACATCGTGCAGTTCTTCGAGTCCTACGTGAGTCCGTTCGAGTCGTACGTGAATCTTTTGACATCGTGAGTTTTGAATCCTTACGAACCCTTGAGACCTACGCGAATCGTTCGTATCCTTGACGTGATGTCAGCCCATCGAATCATACGAATAAATGGTGGACATCGTGCAGTTCTTCGAGTCCTACGTGAGTCCATCGAATGGTCCTTTGAGACTCACGTGAGGCAACCGCGGTGCGCGCATACTCGTCCCGCGGTCCCAGCTGGACAGCCTAAAAAAATCGAGAGGCTGGACTCAAGTCACTGGCCAATCGAATGCCTGAAACATTCTCCAAAACCGATTACTGTGTGTACAAAAGATTTTTATTATTTCTATCCAAAATCCCTCGTTATTTGACAGATCATGTCGCTTCTGCTGTTCGCCGCCGCCACGTCAGGAGCAGCTGCGTGCAACACCTGGTGGAACACCGGCGCCTTGAACAAGTACGTTCGTCGTTCCCCTTTGGCGTAAAAACAGAGAAGCAAAGAAGCACAGATGAAACAGCAGGCTACAAGAATGTCCTCCGACCATCTATACGCAATTGAACAACCTATTAACCTACATTTTTAGCGACAACCTATAACTCTTATTAAATCACGTCTCCGTTTCCTTCTCCCGCTTTCCCTTGTGCAGTATGGTGCTTGGAGATTACAGCACCAGCGCAACCAAGGCCATGCTCGCCTCGCTGGGACTGAGCACCACACTCCCTGGATCGTTGGACTACGACTCTTATATTAATCAATACATTAATGACGCTAATGCGGACCTGGGCAAGGTCCGTGGTGCATGCGCCATGGCGTATTTCGCCGCCTTCACCTACATTGCAATGTTCTGGTACTACACCACCCGCATGTACAAGCGCGGTGTGCTCAAGGCCGTTGCAGATGCAGCGCCGGCAGCAGTCAAGGACAACGTTCCTCCTTACAATGTGTGAATTGAAACCCGTGATTGACATGTGATGGATTCTTCTCCTTGTTTTCGGTTGTATAACATATGCTGCTTTAGTGTACGCCTGGGTGGGGGCTGCTCGTTGTACTTCATCATCAGGATGGGGTTGTGTCACTCTTGGAGTTCCTCTGTTAGGGATTCCTAGGCTTGCAGAGCAGAACAAATGCTCTTGGGGGTCCTCTAGGGACCTGTTGCTTCCATCTCTGTACAGCAATTTTTCAGTATGAGTTTGTACTGAATGTTATGGTACGTTGCGCTCGCTATACATGGCATAATGAAACCCTGGTACCCTCCAATCTGATTTTGAAACTCAGCAGTAGTAGGTGGTATTGAGTATGTTGATGCCTGTTAGTCTTCATTGCTCATTCTTGTGACATGGGCCATGGCTCGCCATGGTTCTGGCATGCTAAATTGTTATTTCCGTTCATTAATTGATCCCAGTTATTGTTACCGCAGATGCTTGCCGACCTTTTGAGCGCATTCCTACGTGCTATCGAGTGCGGAGACCATGACGTGGCAGTCATGGACTGAAATGAGAACACGTGTGAACAAGTGTTCTGCTATCCACTATCCCACCACACATGTTCTCTACCCCCTATCTCCCATCCCACCACCCGTGTTCTGCTTTTGATTAGTTGATAAACGTATAAGTCGGCCCTCAAACTTAAGGTGCGATACATTGCAACCTTTGACATTCATTCTAAGTAGAGATACGGTACGTTTGTTCGTTCGAAGGATCCTAATTATCACATGTTTTTAAGGTAAGAATGCGGTTTATTTCACCCCGTTGGAATACTTTCCGTGAGACCACACTCGGCGTCCTCCCGCAATTCCTAGGAAAGACCATACCTTCATCGCGGAAATGCTAAGTCAGGAAAGTCACGGAAATGTGACTTATAAGGGACTTCTACGTAACCTTTTCCGGTGACGGAAAAGTCATGGACAGAAGTCCCAGTTCGCGACGTTACCTATAGAGTCACTAACACTTCACCATTCCGTTCCGCATTTGTTTCGTAAACAACACATTTTCGTCACACGCAACGTTACATCTGAGTGACCATCGCGTCTATGAACAGTGACCCGGCGCACCACAACCATTACGTCACCATAACATCACCGGACAATGCCACTGCCACGTAGGCATCCACGTGGTGTACAGTTACAACACCCACGTTACATCCAACTCCAGACGCAACTGAACGTACTTGCGTTTCTGAGCTGGGCTACCAACCACTGACAAGCACGTGTCGTCCCTGCCACCCTAAACGAACCGTCACGCACCATAATCCAGGCTTACAAGCACCGCCAACAACGTTTAAGGGCCCCCGCAGGCCTCGTTTTTTCGTCGCGCTTAAAGGGCCCCGCTGGCCCCTCGTTTCGTCACGCTCCAGAGGGGACTCTCCACCCCCCACCCGCGGGCCCGCGTAGTCGTTCTTAGCCCGCAGCAGCGCGCGCGTTAGCCAGCGGCAGCCGCGCACGCCACTGCAGCACGCACATTGCAGCAGCAGCGCGTGCATTGCTGCAGCTGCACGACTAGGCAGCAGCGCGTGCATTGCTGCAGCAGCACGGCTAGGCAGCAGCGCGTGCATTGCTGCAGCAGCACGGCTAGGCAGCAGCGCGTGCATTGCAGCAGAAGCACGGCTAGGCAGCAGCGCGTGCATTGCTGCAGCAGCACGGCTAGGCAGCAGCGCGTGCATTGCAGCAGAAGCACGGCTAGGCAGCAGCGCGTGCTCCTGTAGTAGCAGCACGGCTAGGCAGAAGCTAGCCGCCAGCAGCAGCTAGCCACCGGAACCTAGCCGCCAGCAGTTGGCGCCAGCTAGCACCTCCCACCCGCCCATAGCCCCTTTCAACCGCTCACAGCCCCTTCCAACCGCTCACAGCCCGTTCCAGCCGCTCTCGCGCGCACACCACCCAGGACCACCCGACCTCCGTTGGTTCGACACTCGCGTCACTCATACTCACAGTGTTTCGCACTGTCGCGGCTGGAGGCCGCTCTGCTTAGCTTTTTAGGCTAGCCTTGACGTTCGTTGTTAGCTAGGTCTCTCCTCGCTCCGCCAGCCCCTCGAACGACTCTCTGGCTCCTCGATCGGCTCGTCAGCCCTGCCTCCTCCAGCCGTTTACTAGACTGGCGTTCCTAGCTCTGTTTTCCTCCGTGCTCCAGCAGTACTCCGCCGTTCTCTCTCCAAGCGCTCCGTAGGTTTCCTCCTCGTTCTTAGCTCAGCCTCTGCCGAGCTCCAACCGTCAAAACGTAAATGCATGGACGACCCAGATTTACCCCCCTCCTAGAAAACCCGCACACGTGCCCCCCTTCACACCGTCGATTTTAGACACACCCACGGTTTTGGTGCACTCATCCCACGACAATCCACGGCGTACATCCAACCATCGTGCCAACACGTCTCTCTGCATGGTGGACGACAACCATTGATGCAAGACGACATCAACGGCTCACACCGAAAACGATGCGCACAAATCGACGCCCATCACCCATCGCATTACCATCGTACGAGGAACTTCTGTACCATCCCACGCGTCTAATACGTCGCCTGTTCTCGCACCGCTGCTCGTGCGAGAGTCCATCCACGATGTACGATGCCCGGCGACAACAACACCCATGACGTTATCACACATCACCACCGTCTATCACACGGGCCTCGCAGTGAATCCACGCGTAGCGCGAGTGAAGCACCCATAGATCGCACCATCAATATTCACCCACTGAACACCCGGGCCGCGTTTCCACCTACCCTGGACCGCACTGTTCATGCTTCTAGTACATTTTACTGCCTTCTCCGTGCAACTTATGCGTCGGCAATTTGGTTCTGCTCTGCAACTAACGCATAACTTTCTTCATTGACCGCACATTAAACCATCACATAACCCCACCCTCCGTATGCGCTCGCCCACCAACAACATGCAACACTACACCAACACTTCAAAAGCTACTACCGCCTATCCACCCACCCCCACCCCCTAAAGCCCTCATCTTCCCCAGTACTCTGACGCAAGATTGACCCCCCCACTTTCATCGTGCAATATGGCCTGCTCTACGGCTAGGCCTCAGGTGAGGGACATGTTGTCCCTCTAGCCGTCGCTCTCGCTGTGTGCCTGCTTGGCGGGCTCCTGCCTCTCAACTCCATCCGCAGACAGGCGCAGCCCATGGCGGCCCCACGCCCACGACGACGTCGTGGGGTCGTACTGCAGCTGGTACTGCTCGATGGCAGCCATGACGTCCACGAGCGCGCACTCGCGGAGGCCGTCCACGATCTGCGCGTTGACACCCGCAGAGTTCGAGAGCCTGCCCTTGCGGGTGTCCCAGAAGCGGATCGCGTCGGTCACCTGCGCAGACGAGCACCACCCAAGGAATATAGGCGCATTAGCATCCACAATGTGCATCCCTCCTCACGGATAACCACAGGCACAAATGGCTCCTTCTACTCTATGGATCGGCCATACTCACCACGTGTTCGAGCCACGCCATGTGATACAGCTTCAACGTCAGCGTCCCGTTCACCATCCGGGGCCTGAACGCCGCGCGAGCGCAAGCAGCAAATGCGCCCGACGCAAATGGCATGCCGCGCCTGTCCTCGCTCCACTTGGAGATCACGAAGTGGTCTGCACAACAACCATCCGGCCATACGTGCGTCATTATGTTGCAACCGCCCAAGCAAAAACCAACCAGGTTGACAGCCTTACCCTCCCCATCGAGCGTCAGAAGAAGACGCTCCTGAACTCTCGCAGCCGACCGGGCCCTTGGTGCAGCCCACGGGCTGCTCGCGTCCCTCTCGTCGCGGAAAAGTCCCAGCTTCGGCAGAGCGATGTCTCGCACCCTGCCCGCGGCCGCCGTCTTCCAATCGCTCAGCGTACGGTTTCAGGTCAGCGCGACACACTTTTGTCCGCAGCCATTGCGAGAGCAGCAAAGGTGGGAGTCAGACGCTCAATTACAGCGCATAGCCCGGCACTCTTCGCCGCACTACTGGGGTAGAACGACATCTGCGCGTCTGGAGTGTTGATGAAGGGATGCACACACAGCTGCTCGCAGATTTCCTGCGTTCAGCAATACACACATACGTAAGCATGCCAGTTAAACACTGCGGCAATCCATCCTCAACAACCAAGCACCCCGCCTACAGATCGGGCCTTAACTGACAATGCGCCCCCACCATGCAAGACATCAACCCTATCACCCCACCTTCCACCCTTTGTTCGCGGGTAAAAACTTCAGCGCACACTGGCAGGATCGGTGAGCTCGACGTCCGCACGTGGGTTGACCCTGTCGCACTCGCCTCTTGCGTTGTCACGTTTGCGCTTCTTCGCCTGGTGGTTGGCCAGCGAGGCCAGCAGTGCCGTCTCCAGCCGTGCCATTGTAGCTGCCGTGTCCATCTGCATCTTGCGCAGCGCCGTCATCTCCCGCCCTGGTCACGGGCGCGGAATCTGAGGCCTCCTCCTGTGTGGCGTCTTCGTCGCCGTCGACGCGCGGATTGACCCTTGGAAGAGCTTCGTTTGGGTCGTCGTCTGACGACACTGGGCCCGGGCCCGTCGCTGCAGGTTCTTCACGCCCTTCATCGTCCTCTAGGTCTGGGTCCCTGCTCCTCTTTCCACTCCGCGCGGTGCGCGCATCCTCCTGCGACCGGGCCGTTCCAGCCTTGCGGCGATTCGACGTCGTCCTCGCGCGACGAAGAGCTCGAGCCATCCCGATCATCTCTCGCGTCGCGAGGGGGCGTCGACGCTGCGAAACACCGACCCAGTACGTGTTAGTGTGTGCCATGTGCAATGCAGAAACCATGTAAACGACGGACACAAACACAAACAACACACATACAACGGTCAGAAGTCACGCTAGGTACCGGCGTCGCGGAAGTTTTGCCCGCTTAGCAGGCGGCGCCCTCGCACCGGTGGACGCTTGGAAGTTCCAGGAAGCACGTAGTGCTTCAGGTGAGACGGGGTCTTGGACACACGCTGACGTTTTCCGTCCCTGGACACTCTACCGCTCTCATTGCCACTGTCCATGTTGCCTGCGGCAACCAGACAGACGATGTGCACAATGGTGCACAACCTCACTTTTTGTGCACAATCTGCCCGTCGTCCGAGATTGGCCTCATTTGACGTGGAATCCACCTACTCACCTCCGAATCTACTGCCCTATCATCGTTTGCCACCATTCCGAGCTCTGGCAACCTTACCTTTATTGTGCCCACTCACGTACCAGCGTGCTCATGCCACCGTGTATTGACCCCCCCCCCCCCCCACACCAAGTCTTTTGTACTCTAACAAATCAGTTGTAACAGTTACGGTGAGATACATTATTTGTAAACAAGTGTTTTCATATATCCTCCTTAACATACATCAACATGCAAAGTACAAACATTTGTCCCTAGATTGTCACTCCAAAACAACAACAGTTTCCATCGCACGCAACGTCTACCACAGATGCCTCTACTACTTTAACCAGTCAGCTCTCACACCACCTCCAAGCCACCCGTCCCATGATCCCTCCACTGCCCACTCACTACCCCTGGGCCTGCGTGCACGCAATCCCCCCCTCACTGTCTTCTCCCCCATTGTCATCCTCGCTCACCAGATCCTCATCTTCTTCAGCATCTCGAGTATCGCTATCAGCTGCCTCTGCTTTCGTTGGAGGCGACTCCGCACCTGGCTCCGGCTTGAAGGGTGTTCCTGGCAGTACACCAATGTAGTCCATGGCTTTACGCCACTCCCTCCACCTGTACCATTTGCGCTTCTGTACAAGATGCCTAACGTCATCCACGATAGCCCCCTCCAGTGCAGCATCTCCGCATCTGGCAATGACATCATCTTGGGGAAGTGGTCCTTCCGTCTGATCACAAACGCGCCAGCGGCGTACGCATACTCCGCGTCCTCCTCCTTCAAGTACCCCCAAGGCGAACCTGCTTCCCAGTTTCCGGGTCTGCAATGATTTTGACGCACCACTTCCGCACTCGGAGGTCGTACCACACCCCGGTGTACTCGCTCGTTCCCCCACGTTTCACCAGACCCCCTGTACCGCTTGCCTTCACCTTGGTGGCCCTGGTCCTTGGCATGCGGACGCCGGCACCATGACCCTTCACGGGCGTCCTGTCTGGTGTCTTTGGATTGGCAGTCTTAGAGACGTGTCCCCTTTGTTGCTCGTCGCCAGCGCCATCAGTGTACGGGAAAGTTAACACTAATAAACCGGGGTTGAGGTAGTGGTGCGGGGGAGTTGTGTAGGAGTCTGGTCAGCAAACTCGACGCCGCCTCACGCTCCCGCATCTGTCGCCCATGCTTGACCGCCTGAGGAGTCCCGTCCCATGCGTACCCAACTCATGGGCACACGCCGCTTCCAGCTGATCCTGGGTGAACCCAAGCGCTGAGGCGATACTCATCACGGCGGCTGCCAAGAGGACACCATCCACCTCCATGCTGTTCCTATCGGGGGACAGCTGCGCCAGGTCCGTTCTGACCTCGTCCTCCGTTGGAAACAGCATGCAACCGTCGTCGTCTACACGCGCATGCGGCTGGGGCAGCACCTCGACTTCCTCCATGTACAGCTGCACAAACAGCTCCCCCACTGCATGACTGGCCACATCCCTGCGCATGCCTCTCCTGTAGGTGCGTGATGTGACGCCGTTGCATGACACCCAGGTAAACACCGTCTTGAATCCCGTGCTGACCAGTCCGTTCAGGTACATACACACGAACACTCCACAGTCGGTGTCGTTACCCTGTTGAGGGATAACCTCCTTCTGGAAAACACACAGAAGATTGCACCAATGCATCAGTCGTCGAGCCCCGCACATCAGTGAAACGGTAAGAACGCCGGCGGACCATACCTGAATGAGTATGCGCTGGCGTCCTTCAAGGCCTTCATAGCGTACGGACGGTCGCCGAGGCGGGCGACGAGCCTTGTGAAGTAGAAACAACATCCTGCGCCACCATAGAAACACGGATCCGATGAGTCTCCACCTCAATGGTTTCACAACGTCCATTGTCCTGCTGTGACTGGGACTCACTTCTTCACACCCTCTATGACCTCTGGCGTCCTCGTGTGCAGCCCCTCACTGTCATAGTGGATGAGGTATAGAGGATCGCCGTCCCCCTCAGATGACATCCTCCTTGTCATAGCCCGCAGGTTCACCGCAATTACCAGAGAGAAGTGCCTCCTGTACGTACACACACAGGTTTCCACAACCTCGTAAAACCATCATCATGGCGTGAGACCTAGGTGCACATGCTGGACTGACACGTGATATCTTCACCTCCCACCTTGCAATAGCCGTATGGCAAGGTAGTCGAGATCGAAAACACACGGGGATCTTCCCATCGGCAACGCCCTGTTCAACTGCGTCGCGTAGACGTAGGCTTTGGTGTCCAATGGAAACCATGTCTTGCCATCCGGCAAATGCGGGCGTCGGATGTTCAGAAGTCTACACACGTACAAGGATACGGTGCACTGATGGAGGAAGATACACAGCCACAAGCGCATATATGCTCTCCTGATCCAACAAAAACGACACTCACATGTTGTGGAAATCAACGACGCTGTCCGCAAGATTCTGGCCGTCTGTCGTAGTAAGCGCATCCTGCGCGGGTCACAGTGGCACCCCTGACCGTGAGGTCCATATAGGGCCAACGTCTTGAAGGCCTTTTGGTTTCGGGAACCTGCAGACTGCTAACCAAGTCGTTCGGCTCGTCTGTATCGGGAGATGGGACGAGTTGTAGGGATTTGACGCGTGCGCACTCCGAACTCTCAGACTTCAAAATATCACGCTTAGTGTCGCTGTCTGCCGGAGGTGGTGAGTCCGTGCCAGGCCTCTTGGTACGCATCCGCTCAATCAACTCTTCCACGCCCTGAGCAAGCTTTGGAGACCCGCTGTCGTGGACGGATTTCTCGTGCTTTGTTCGCTTCGACATCGTGCGGTTGGCGCCTATGTGTGCGGGACAGTTATCTGGTTGCAACTACGGACGGGAGTAGCTAATGCTCCACATGGTCGTTAGTTCTCACCTTCTACTGCCTGGCCCACCGCTGCGATGGACAGAAGGATCCGCTCGAGATCGAGATGTGCGGGAGGAAGTGGATCTGATGAGGGCGTAAGTGCGGATTAGGTCTGGTTGAGACGACAGGCAAGTTTGCCACGCGTCCGTAGTATATGAGAGCGCGCCAAAAGCGAAGACTCTCGATCGGACACATGCTATGGGTAGCAACGGATAGAATGATGGAGACTTTTAAGGAGTACAAATCAATGCACACCCTCGTCCACGCTTGATATTGGCTACATGGTTTGCAATAACAAAAATCAAGGGTTGCGAGACCCTTATGTACCCACATAACGGGACGGATAGTACCGCGTGTAATTGACATTTGCGCAGAATGGTGAAATAACTGGTACGCAGTTGATGTGTCCGGGTTGTTGATTGTCGTCATAGTTGCGTGCAAGCAATACAGGGTGATGCAACATGTTAATGCGGGGTTGTAAGGAGCACGTTTGCACATGCGTATAGGGGTAGCGCATTACAATGTTGCGTTCACGGTTTATTTAAATGCGATAACTCCGTACTGTCCGGTCTTTTAGATCGCTGGGTATTGACAAGCCAATTACAAAACCATCTAGGCGCAGCCACCCCTAAAAGCTGTTGCCACTGACGGATGAAGCGAGAGGAGAACTGTTGCACCGCAGCATAGCTCCCGTCTAAGCCATCGCTGTCGCTATACCCAGGAACTGCCAGGCGCGCACCGCTCAGTCGAGCCCGCTTAGTTGGAGTGCGACGGAGCCCGTTGATGACGTCGTCGTTGCATAGGACCAGTGCGCTCGAGAAAATCCCTCGGAAGAATGCCAAGTTGCGCCGCGGTACGTATATACGTCTTAGTCACGGCCGCGCACTATTCGGCGGCGACTATGAGGGTCGTGCAGACTCGGCCCAGCTGGCATAATCAACGGAGCGGTAATCTCCACCGCTACGACGTCTGCGACGGGAGCGTCCCGGCCGATGATGGCGAGAATGCGGGTGTCGCACGACGCGTATTCGGTGGCTTGCATCATGGCAGTATCGCCCTTTTTGAACTGGTTTATCAGTAGCTGCAGACGGACGAGTTGGGAAATGAGTGGCTCCACCGTGACACAAGTTGCAGGATAATCCGTCAGATGGAGAAGCGACCTCCACGCCATGTGCAACATCCCAGACCTTGCCCACGAGAGGTGGACAGCCCTGCAAGGGGTGCAGTCGCTAGCAGGACCCCACCCATAGCAGTACGTTCTCAAAGACAATTATGGGCATTGCGCCCTTAGACAGCCACGCCGCGTCCCTTATGATGAAGTCGATGTAGCAGGACCGTAAAATGGTCTTGAACATCTCGACCACCCCTTTGAACCACGGAAGGTTGTACGTCGACACGACACCATCGAGATGAACTATCTTCGTTGACGGTGAGCTCCTGCACACGAAATCCGCAGAGTGTGCTCTCGTCACATGCGGGGTCTGTGAAAGTTTAAAAGAAAGAAGAGGGTTGAACTAGCAAGAATGAGGATACAAATAGCAAACCCTAGAAGGGTTGTACTCGCTATAGAAGCACCCCACTACAGGCTAGAGCACAATATTCTGACACACCCCATAGCCAAAGTGGGGTGTAATCTAGCAGAGCAAGCAACAGCAGTACAAGCTCAGGGTGGATCACAATGTCACCACACATTCTGAGCACAAGTTCAAGAAGCAATAGTTTAAAGTTTACAATTATCAGCAAAGCTAGTGGTAGTCACAACGAGCAAGTGAGGAGGAGGAGGGAGAGTGAGAGGAGAGGAGATAGAAGGCGGCGGCTGAAGCTGCAGACACACGGGCAACAGGAGTGGCGAGCACAGTGGCTACCGGACCAAGCAGCCGGACTACAGGAGTAACTGGCTCCGCGGCTAAGACAAGCGGCAGGAGCTACGGACCCACAGGCGACTGGCGCAGCGACAAGCTCACTGGGCTACCGGGACAGCGCCCCGGACTACAGGTGCTGCGGACGACAAGACGGCAGCCTCCGCTCAACCTCCCGCAAACAGTCCCACCCCCCTGACACACACCGCTGCTACATCCCTAGCTCCACTCCCCCTTCACCCTCTAGCACGACTCCGTCGACTCCCACCACCCACCCCCCTCAGCGGCAGCTGCAGCAGTGGGAGACAGAGGAGGAGGAGGAGCAGGGGAGACCACACACCCGCCACCCCCACTCGCCACCCCAAATCCTAACACAGGGCAGGGCGGGATGGCGGGTAGGGAGGTTACGGAGGGGGGCGACGCGCGGTCTCCTAGAGCGCCAAAACATGCGGCAGAAAGGGGCGGCGCTCGCCCCCTCCCCCAGAACACCCCTCGGTGACGGGGAAGGGGGGGGGGGGGAGGGGGGGGTTGTAGCTCCCCCGGTACGCCGCGAGGGCGGCGCACGGGGCCGTCGAGGGCGCGAGGGGGCCGCAGGGGCGGCGCGCGGGGCCGACAAAGGGGCCGCGAGGGGCCTGGAAGGGCGGCGACGGCCGCGAAGGGCGACAGGGGCGACGCGCGGGTCCCCGTCGCCCGTCGCATTGCCTCCCGAGGGCGACGCGGCGAGTGACGGGCAGAAGCCCGTCGCGCGCCTCGGGGCGCACCGCGGGCAGAGAACCGCCGCGCGCCTCGGGGCGCACCGCGGGCAGAAAACCGCCGCGCGCCTCGGGGCACGGCGGGCAGAAAACGCCGCGCGCCTCGGGGCGCACGGCGGGAAGAAAAACTGCCGCACCACGGGGCGTGCGGCCTGAGAGTAGCAGTAGAGTTGCAGCGGAAGCAACGAGGTGGTGAG